TTGATATTTAATTTTTTTTTGTTTGATTAATACAATTAAAATTTTAGTTAACTAAAATATTTTACTTTAGTTAATAATTAAAGATCAAAATATTTTTTTACTTAAAAAGATTAAAAGAATTTATTTAATTACAAGAATTGTATTAATAAAAAATTAAAATTTTAGTAATTAAAACTGAAATTTTGAATTATGTTTATGTATTAAAATAAAAATTATTAATCATAATAAAAGAAAGGAGAGGGAGAATTTTGCTTTTTTTATTTTTTATTTTTAATATTTATTTAATTATAATTAGTAAGTATTTAACATTTTAATTATTTCTCAAAAAAAGGTATTTTGAACCTTTCAAAAATCTATAATACACTTATAAGTAATTTTATTAAATTATTTTTGTTTTTACAAAACTTAAAATTTAACTTTCATTTAATTTAAAGGAAATGTTTAATAGATCAATTTAAGAAAATTAATGTAGGGAATTAATATGAAGAATTGCCAAAAAGAAATAGAGATTTATTCGAATTTATTGACAGTATGTACTCAACTGAAAATATTTTAATGTAGGATTTAATTTCAGAGACCTAATTGAGGAACGGAACAAACGGAAGGAGTAAAACGTCATGTGGGTAGAACTTGAAGATTTAAGTGCAAAAGTGATGAAAACTACGTCGTTTTGGTCGAAACCTAGTAATATGTGAAATTATTTAAATGCTATTAATAAATTTTTTTATTAACTTATTAATAATATTTTAATTTTTGTTACTATAGTTACGATATTTTAATTACTAGCAAGTACTGATCTTTCTGAACCTCAAAATGAATTTTGGTTATATACTAAATGGTCTATAACACGTATACATTTTGGTCCTTGGCTCATGATATCAATTACTGGTCTATAACATCTACTTATTGATGTAACACAAGTTGGGTTGTAACACTTAATAATTTAAGCGAAAGAAATTCCCCAAAACTTTGAGACAAAAGCCAACAAGAAATGAGTGAAAGGGCTTAGTCACTTACCAGATTTGAACTAGCTAGCTGCTCACAATGATAGCAAACACAAGACGAGAATTTTGAAAGACAAAAACAGGTATATTGTGTTTGTGAAAATCCCTAAAATCATTGAGACCAACGCCAAGAAATGAGAAAAGGAATTACTAACCAGATCTGAAATTCTTTGCAGCCACACAAAAGAACAGCAAATGCAAGAGAATTCTCCTAGAAAGAGAAAAAGAGATTGTATTGTGAGAAAACTCAACTGAGATAAACAGATATACGATGGTAGTGTGGTCAAGATGTTCGACTGCACTGCTGTCTTTTTCGCTTGTTTCTTTCTGCTTCTATTTTCTCGGAAACCAATATTAGCCTTCTTCTAGGGCCATGGCATGTGATGGCATGTGATGTGAATGTTTCCGCGATATTTCTCTTTTGCTTAACTAGTCTTACGTTTTCTTTCTTTCCAATCAAGTTGAGTCTGTTTCACTTCTTTTTTTATTTTTTATGAATGTGCCTAGATTAGAGTTAAGGTTGTGAGAATTGAGAACGTTACAATGTCTTTTCCAAAGAGAAAAATCAGTTTAAAGTATGGATTTTTTTAATTTTGGCTCACATGTTGAGGTGCATTGTGACATCAAACAACATAAGAGCATGTTTGGAGTGCAAAATAGGACTGGATTGGATACAATTGATAGGATGAGATTGAATTGGATTGGATTGGATTAGATTGAATAAGATAATAAAATTTAATTTCATGTTTGGTGTTTCTTTGGATTGTATATAAAATTTATTTTAT